GTTCCTAGAGGATTCCATTACCTAAAGTTTCTGCATAAGCAGACTGTGTGGTACGAATCAGTTTAGGTTCTTTGCTATACAGTACTTTTTGCTTAATTGCTTACAATTTTTAATTGTTTTATAGTTTAGCAGGACAATTCTTAAATTGTACTTTAGGAATTTTCGACTCCGTCGGAAACTTTTTAAAGTAAAGTTACGTAAAGCTTAGTTTTGCTCTCTGATTTGGAGATAACAACCTGACTTTTGTTAAGTAAACTTAGCCTATTAAAATGATATGTTAGTCTTACTTCCTATTCTTCTGTTATACCCTGCGTTCCATGCGGCACAGGATATATTAAGTAACATACAGATGAGCTTAAAATGGATCCATTGACGCATATACCGATCGCATTACAATAATTTTTGATTTAAGCATGACTGCCGTCTGACCATGTATTTTTTATCACTGGCTTGTTTCGGCGCAGAGAGGAAATCTTTTGAAAATGGATTAGGTCGAAACATTTCTACAATTCCCCACATAACCAGTGCCGCATAAGAATTGTTATTTTCGAACTCACATAGAAAAACTCATTGCTCATTGTAGTAAGTACTTCGGCATACTAAATTTATCAAAAAAATTTGCATTAGATCGACCAATGTTTTGGATTCTCATTCTCTAAGAAAAGTAAGTAAAGCAGGTATACCTCCAGGCTCCATCCCCTATAAGCGCAGCCATGAAAAACATGCTTTCGTATGGCGACAATGTCTCATTTTTATTATATCATGACGAAAACAGGTGATTAGTGACGTCTTTGAAAAGAAGATGAATTGGTCGTTCTCCCATGTAGGGGCTCCTATTAGAAATATGCCTTTATATGGGAACAAGATACAATTGTGTATTATGGAAATGAATGGAAATTAGTCCTAAACAAAGTGTTGTAGGGCATCTTATGGTCGGACTTATTTTTCATTAACGATGCCTCTGATCAAGGTCAGCGTCGATAATTTTGCGTGAGGAAAAAATTGCGTTACCCTACGAAAAAATATTAATCAAATAAAGTTCGGTTTTTCTTAAAGTGTCCTCTTTGACAGCACAGATTTCTGCTTAGAGGTTTCTTAAACATTCTAGCCATGCATGTAGTCGCTTAGCTTCCTGTAAGCCTTTAGTACTGTCACTATTAAGTACACCTCTAGGTAAACATATGCTATCTGTACATAGATCCCATAAAAATTTTTATTATCTATGAACTATTAGACGCAAGTCATGTAAAGCATGGAAAAGTTGCATAAATTTAAGTGACACACAACTTCAAAACAAATTAAATTAAATTCCTATTGCTCTGTCATCATTTTATAAACGCATAACTTAAACTTCGCAGAAGGCTAAACTTTTCTCTTCAACAGTTGTTTATAAAGCTGAACAGCAAACACCAACAATATTGGCATCAGGACGACGGCAGTGCATGCTCTTACATGCGTATATATAGTAGTCGGCAATATCCGTTAACAAAAAAAAAAAATTATGTATGTGCATGTACGTTCTCGTGTTATGGAACTTAGGTGTATAGAGTGAGACTTACATTAAATTCAGCCGTAAAGGAAAGGCAGCGAATTTTAGCACTTTGTCAAATTCTACAAAATACATGTATATTTTTTTTCATCAAACCATTGCCAACCAAAACTGTTAAACAATTTTATATGAAATTGTAGGCTTAATAGTCAATGACATCATAGGTATTATCTCCTAAAACCATTAGAGTTCTCATTTATTTATTCTCAATAGCACTCATTGTGCTTTGGCTTTGGCTGTGGATTTTGATAAAATTCTATAAAAATTCGTATTCGTAGTCGCATTCATATCGTTTCTCCATTGCGAAACATACATATGTTTCGATGCGTGGATGCTTGCGTAATAGAATTCAGTATGAAACTGCGTGTGCGACGCGACATATAATAAAATTTACATGCAATTAAGTTCTTTTATATTTCAATTTATTTTATTTATAAACCATTTCAAAATCAGTAAATAAATGTCAAAATTTCAAAATATGATTAATGTCGTGGTATTGTGGTCATCAGTAGCAAATAGTTTCAGTATTTTTTTTGCCTTTCTATAGATATGCCCATAACCTTTTGCTTGCTATTAGGTCGTTATAGCCGCAAAAGGTTGTTTTGGCGTTCATGGCTTACTTTATTTGTTTTATTGCTAACACGATAGTCTCCGTTCATTAGCGTTTTGATTAGGTTTCGAGATTTTTTATGTTTTTTGCTTTCATATTAGTCTCAGCTTTTATTACAAGGAATTTTTTCGTTGAAGTTAACGTAGATAGTAAAGGATGCCTTTTGATTTAAATATGCCGAGAGTATAAAAATAAAAGAAATTGAACTATGAATATTAATTAAGTCCACATCTGTAATTTTAAAATTTTAGCTTAGTTCGTTAGTCCGTACGTTGGGATGATATTCATCGACTATCTTTAAACAGAATCAAGAGAATCAATAGTGAATATTATGTAGTGTCGAAATAACGCAATTGCAAAGAAAGGCTGGTTAGATCGAAAAATTATTGAATGATGTCATGCACAAGATAAAAAACTTTGATGTACTTTCTCCAGTTCTGTTGATTACATATGAATGCGATGTTTTGGAGAAAAAGAAAGTAAAAAATGAAAGCCCTGCAGCTCCTATAAGACCTTCGAGACTTGTTATGTGGCATTTCCTTGTAGGAACCGCCAGAACGTAATATTCTTATTCTTTCTTTATACCAAAATATAGTCATGCCTATGTAGTAATACTAATATAATATAGGCATACAGTATTAATATACTTCCGAGTATTTTTTCTACGTTTTCTTATCTCTGCATAGTAAACCTAGTAATCAGTAGCTGAGGTTAAACTTAAAATTAATAAAATTATGTATTTTTTTTAAAGAAATTACGATTCTTGTGCAAGTGAAAGAATTCCTCATCAAATGTTCATACGAAATGTGGTATTAAATGATTTATAAATAAATTTAATTTTATTTTTTCATGTGACAATCAATAGCTGACCAATGTTGTAACGAATTGTATTAGATCTGTAAACACTAACAACAAACAAAAACAAAATACAAAAAGTAAATTGAAATAAATTTGCAATAATTTCATTCGTTATTTGTCAAAAACAATTTGAATATATTTTCTATCTGGCTGTGCAATGTTGATAAACAACATTTTTTTTGGAGTATTATCATCAAATATTTACCATTATCTACTATGCTATACCTATATGTGTAATATGATGCAATCGTAGAAGTAAATTCAATATTTCATACATACAAAATAACACAAAATTCAATTAAAATTTTTAGAGAAATGATGAGCATTAAGAGACATGAAGAAAGAGATAGAGTATATAAACCGGGTCTATCATGCAAATAACCGTAAACATATATGACATATAATAATAAACAGATAAACCAAATAAATAAATAAAGTGTGAAGATATTTAGTCTAACACACTATTAAAACTACATTTGTGCAAATGTGTCTGTGCATGTGTGTGTGTTTGTGCGTGTGTGCATAGAAAATATGTATGTTCAAGTTAATTATTCAAGAAAAGTTACTTAAAAACAAAGCATTTACTGAAGTTTTAAGAAATGGTTAAGATTTTGAATAAAACCAACGCGAAATTCCTAAATACCGACTATAACAAGCAAATATAAAGTTTTTTAATTGTGATCATCTCAACTACGTAATTGGGAATATTCTCTTTTTTTAGCAAATTTTTTTCTTTGCAAATTTTTGCCACCAATTTAAGATTGGCACTCGCGAATTTGCTAGTATCAAAATATTTCGTTATTAGCCTGTTTAAATTGAAAAAGAACTTCCTTCAAAAGGATGACAAAATTAATTTTATTCAAAACCTTAGCCACCATTGGCTATACATTTGTGAAAGAAAATCAAGTTCTGGAAAGTACTGGAAAGACCTCTGTATCTTTTACGGCCATATACGCATTAAGCCCGTTTGGGTATCGCGATAAACATGAAAGCCTTGTTTAAACAGACAGTCATTGGCTAGAATAGTGTTGCTCAAGAGTGGGGGGAATGGGTATTTCAATATCAGCCCGAGTATCGGAAGTCTGAAAAATCAACTTACAACAACGTTTGCGCGCATTATAGTCGCTTTTCCTATAATAATTGGCACAATTTCATGAATGATTTTTTATAATGTTTCATTAGATTTCAAAAGCTCGTCCTTTTATTGTTCGCACGACGTTTTGCGCTTGTGACATTGCATCGCGTCCGTTTTTAACTACTTGGAAGCATTTAATAGCACTTCCTCTTGAATTAAAAAACACTTTCTATTGTTTAGCATTTTCTCTTTTTGCTGGAGCACTGGACTTATTTAGGATTCCCACAAAAAGGTGTTGCATAGATTTCAGCTATAGATAACTTAAACCAGTGTACACCTTTAGGGGATATATTACTGTAACAAAAGCAAAAGCTTACTTTCGGCAACTTCGGCAATAGAATAGTAATATTCGAGGAGTTTGTTGACTGTCGGTATAATAATATATAATATATAATAATAATATATATACAATGTACATAATTATATATAATGTATATATGTTTAATGTATATATAATGTATATAATGTATATATATATATATATATATATATATATATATTACAAAGCAAAAATTAAAAAAAGTAAAAAAAAATAATAATATCACTAAATCTACATATAGCATATATAGCTAGCTATGCTGTAGTGGTTTTATAATTATTGATTCTTGTGCAACTGGCAATTACGTTTACGATACGTATTTTTGTTGGAAATGTTATTTTAAATATGTAGGCAGAGTTGGTTTAAAATTTTTAAATGTGTAAGGGACATGATTTTCTATTAAGTTACATTTTGCATACAGCAGGTTATTCCATCAGCATGCCACAATGAAACTGCTTTACTTTGCTTCACTAAGCAATCCTTTTGAAGCTCTAGAGGAAGAAGTCAAAATATCAAGGAAAAACATTTTTCGCTTTGTTTTGGGCGCTTCGTAGATCTATTGAACACAAAAAAGGAAAACAAATTGATTTTGTAGCGTAACCCTTTAAAAATAATATTCTTACCTGGAGAAACCGCAGTTCGATTAATACCCATAAACTTTATGAAGCCAGCTTTTAGAAAATCATGTAACGACTTGTAAATGCCGATGTTACTAACAACAATATATATAGAAATCTTGGGTTTATATTCAACACTGAAAGCTGGATCATTTCTATTCCCAACACAAGGAAAAAAGGTTCGGAAAACATGCCTGTTGTAAACATTCTATTGGACGCAAAAGTGAGGACATCGGCTTCGAATTTGCCAAGTTGCTGTTGAAAATGGGTCAAGCCGGTCCAAGAACACGTCTGCATTGCAAACCGAGAGCATCTATGTTTTTAAAAGTAAAAAAAAGAGTTTTTTTGTTCGCGACTCATAAACTATAATAGATAAAGCTATAAAAATTTCCGCGTAACCAGTCGCGCTTACCCAATATTACTGAGTATCAAAATTGCCTTTATTCCTCAAAATATTTATAACGCTTCAGAGACACTATAAAATGTTTATGTTTATGATCTTGATTGGCATCGTTTTCGGCGTTGATTTAGACGGGTAAGTTTGTCCATCCCATCGGCTTTCACTTTGACATTGGTAATTCTTGCAAACAGGTTGCCATTGAAAGTAGCTCGAATTCGTCTATGCGTATGGCTACAGAATAATATACATTGAGAACATCTCCGCTTGCTACTGAAAAAATCAGCATCGCGTACCACTCTATAATTAGAGCACCGATATTCAGGTTTCTTCATATTTTTCAATTCTTTAAGTTAAAACTGGTGGGTG